ACGGTGATGATGAAGAAGAAGATGAAGGATTATGCTCAAGGTGGTGGTTATGCTGTTATTGATTATGTTCATCTAAGGTTGTTTTGCGTTGGTCAGTCGCAGCACTGCCATCGTCATTCGTGTTCTACTGCTGTTGTTATTGCAACTATTGCTCTTACTGTTAGTGTTGCTACCGTTGTCATGGTCAGTCTACCATCGTCATCATCATCATCATCATCTTCATCATCATCATCATCAGCAAATTATTATTAGTTTCGTCGTGGTCGTGGTCGTGGTCATGGTCGTCGTCGTCGTCGTCGTCGTCGTCGTTGTCGTGACCAGCATCGTCGTCTTCGTTGTGGTTGTGGTGGTGGCTGTCGCCTCTGCTTCTGCTGCTGCTGCTGCTGCTGCTGCTGCCGCTGCTGCAACTAGCGCCGTGTAGCTGATAGTTGTTGTCTGTGTTGTTACTCATGTTCTGTTTCTTGTTGACATACCCATTTTCATGTTCTCTCCGAGCTTCGTTTTGATTCTAGTCTTCATCATTTTCGTTCTTGTTCTTCTTATTCTTTCCATTCTTCTCCTCCTGCTTCTTCTTTTTCTTCGTATTTATGTGATTGTCGGGGCTGCACGAGTGAGTGGTCAGGGTGACTAATTTCTATCTGCCGCAAGGATCCGCGGATATTCGAACCTAGCACATCGGAGTCGCGTGGGCTTGTCCGTGGATGGTGCAAAACAGCTATCAGCCACCTCAAATGTATCCTGACACAAAAGGTTCTAGCATGATATGGCATGCCAGGGACTGCATCAGCGACATGTGGCTTCCACACAGATGAACGAACTCAGTTCCAGGCAAGAGTCAGAGCTTAGTCCTGAAGGCCAGCGCATTTTCGTCTTTCCCGGAGGTCTCATTCGGTATTCACGCTGAAAGTGGAAGCTTCCAGTACCACAGCCGGTGGTGTCACCTCCACAAAGATTGCTAGGCAAGGGGCCCATGGTGCTCTTTTGCTGCTCTTCGGGTGGCTCTGCTCCTCCGCCTTGCATTGAAGGCTCAACCTCATAGATCTGGCGGGATCTGAACGTCAGACATTTGATCCGCACAATCCTTCAGCGGTGCCCTCCCTGAGCACACAGCTCTCCATGGGCATGCGTTGCACATTGTTGCACACTGCGGACTCTTCACACAGCTCCCCTGCGGCCCCTGCGCAGCACGAGAGCATCCGGGTGAAGGAGGCTGGCGCAATCAACCGGAGCCTGAGTGCTCTCACGAACGTCATCATGTCCGGTGCTCGTGTGAGCGGTATGCGAGCCTCTCGGACGGAGCGGAGCTGCAGGTCTCTTTCGCACGGTCGACGGAAAGTTTCCGCTGCAGGGTGTGCACCCAAAATGTACAGATGCAGCATTGCTTCAAGCGTTGAGCCCCGAGGCAGCGGCAGCCATTCGTCCGGTATCGTGACAGTCCCACCGTCGCCTTAGTCTTGTGACATCCTAAAGGCACGCCTGTCCCAGTCGTAAGATGTGTGCATGCCAGGCAAGCTCACCTTCCTTCTACGAGATTCCTTGGGTGGCAACTCGAAGACGGTTATTGTTGCTTGCATCTCTCCTGCGGCCTGGCACTTATCGCGATGCTTGGACGTCCTGTCAGCGTTGTGTTTGTAAGGCCATGTGCTTTGGGGAGACTTTGTCGACCCTAAAGTTTGCCTCCAGAGCAAAGCACATCCGCTGTGCAGTTGGGGTCCTACCTGGATGTACTGCAGTCGCCTGTAGTGCTTTCTGCCGTGTCTCCAGGCCGTAATGAACGAGGAGTACTCTGGCACTGTGGAGTCTTTGGTTCTTGAGGCCGCGAGGGGAGGACAGCTACGTTTCAGGCTACACAAAAGCGGAGCTGTGGCCCGGGATGGCTTGGGAGACTTCAGTACGAGGGTTGCGCAGGTGAAGAGCCTTCGCCAGCAGCTTGACCTGCTTTCCAGCCGAGCCGTCAAGGGAGGGGGCTCCATGCACCACACTATGCAGCTTCTGCTGGGTACCAGGCCGTGGGCTGGCCATGGAGGCGAGGTCCCGGAGAGTTTTCACTCCAGCCTGACCCACAATCCTCAGGCCAGCGACCTGAAGACAAGATCGTCTTCATCAAGGCGCCTGCCCCAGGCCAACAGAGCGAGGCCACAGGATCGCGCCAGCATAGCGAAGTCAGACATGTGAGAACATCTTGCGCATCTCTGTGTCCAGCATAGTTTCTTGTATCAATACTGTCATGGCCAAGTATTCGTCTGCACAACAGGGATGTAGGGACCGCCTCCCAAAGATGTGAGGCCCCACCTGTGCCTCCGCTCAAAGCACGCATGTCAAACGCGGAGCACATGGCATATAGTCAGTCTCAGAAGTACCGAAAGTGTTCCAGCCCTTAGGCCTGCGGACTGGAACCCGCATGATACACGTCACCACTGTCACGATCGGCACGTGCGCACCCAGGCCAAGGGACACTCGGAAGCGCCAGGGCCCAGGAGGGATGGGAGCCTCAGCCGGGCCATGGCAAAGCCGTCCTCCAGGCAGGGAGGAGGCCTCGGTCGAGGCGTGGCCTTCCTCAGCTTTGCTGTGAGCCGAGCCTTCCCGAAAGGATTTTTGTAGTGCAGGCTGCCTTGGAGGAAGCGCTGCAAGCAGGTGCTTCGGAAGATCTGTGCTCAGCTAAGCTTCTCTTGGATTGCTCCTGTCCTCGCTTGATGACACTTGATTTGATGCAAACACGCCTCAGCGCAAGGCGATGCTTGTACGGTCCGCGACGCATTAGAAGGCCACCTGTGCTCTATCGTAACGTGAGACGTACCGATCGAGCACTTGATTACAGCTCCGAGCATTGGTAGGCTCGAAATTCTGCTGGCTGCAGCAGCTGCCTCGGATCCAAGACCTTTTGGCATGTCCTGTCGTGCCACTGCACGCTCATGATGGTCGAAGTTGGTTTGCTCCCTCGATTCATATGGTGTGCCACTGTATGGGTTGTGCCACAGCGCTGCCGAAGTGCTTTAATTTTAACGCTACGCCTTTGGCAGAGGGCACGGGACACACGTCGGTGGCGTTGGTGCATGTCCGCAGCAGAAGTGGAGTTTCTACTGCACCAACAGCCTC